CTGTTAAGCTACCAAATGAGTAGCCATTTACGGTTGTTTGCTGTGCGTTTAGAAAAAATACTTAATCAGTTTGAAGGCTTCTAAATTTGGAATTTTTCTGAGGCACGATCAAACGTAGTATGTAGAAAACAATGGTAAATACATATTTCATATAGAAAAATCATGTTTCAAAGAGCCAATCACAATTAGAAAAGCTTCTCTCGTGAGGCATTGTTCAGATTTGCGATGACACGCGAACGCGCGACGACGCGCCGCGACGCGCTACAGTTGCAAAAGCGCTCCAATCCTAGAGACGCGAATGAGGCAACGCGTACCATCCGATTCCTCCATACTCTCTCTCAGTACGCAAGCGGCGCCGATCGATTCTCGTCTGCGGCTGGGCTCGCGTCTAAAGCATTGGAGCGCTGTTGCAGATTGCCATGAAGCGCGGCGACGCCTTGTAACGCTACAGCGCGTCGCCGCGCGTCATCGCGAAGTCTTGCATAAGGAGAAGAGGTCGGAGATCGCAACTCGAGATCAAGGTGGGGATGAGTTCACTACAGAATAAGGCAAGGAAGTTGAGGACTGAAAAAACCGTGAAATTTCACAAGATGGAAGTGTTTTGAGTGGTTTCTGGATAGCTTCTTCCAATTTATTCAGATCTAATTTTAGGGTGACATTGTGTGCCTTTCATGCATCGCATCACATAATCGCGATGGTGTTCTCGGTTCCGAACGTGTTTGCCTTTGCACTGAAGGCTTCGGTAACCGTATGTGTACGCTGGAAAATGTATCCGATAGGGTAAGTTTAGAACCCAAGAATCTTCGAGAATACCGTTTTTACTGATTTCAAGTGATTTTCAGGATATTCCACCCGATATAGCTATATGTATGCTTTACATAGACAATGCACTATCGATGAGAGCATTGCAGGAGATGATGTCAGCTGATTCGGAACATGTATGGAATTTAATTTTTTTTTGTTTTTTTCGGTTTTTTTTCTAGTTACCCATCTTTATGTACGCTTACCTAAAACATTACCCACTACAGAGTGCTACAAGCAGAGTCCATCTTGAGCCACGATTTTGATTTTGAGCTTTTTCAAATATTTACTGGAAAGAAAAATAATTTCTTTAGCGTGAAAGCTTGTCTTTGAGCAGGCTAACGAAAATCTGGCTTGAAGTAGTAGTAAGGGTGCAGAGAGTTTTCTCACGGGTATATCCGCTATCTGCTACTTATGCAATTTCTTCACGTCTGATCACTTTCAGAAATCTGCTTCTGGTGCTGGTGGGCATAAAACGCTGCTTTATGGCCACGCTGTTCAGCTGAAACATGTGCAGAGTGAGATGGTAAGCAACCTTTTGTCCTTTTCTTGAATCACTCAGGGGATTCTCCCTTGCCTCTCTGGCTCTAACCTCTTACATTTCATCGTGACCAGTTCTTATTGAAGCCTAATCCGGTGAACCACTTCACCTTATTGAAAAGAATGGCGTCTACATTCACAGTTTTGTTCGCTGCGGATGATAGAGCGCGTCAAAAGGGAGAGGGGTTTTATGCCAGCCAGCCCGTTTTTCTTATTTCTTCTTTTGGCAAGCGAGAATACTGTCTAACACCGTGATGTTTTACACCAATAGCTTCGCTTACCCGCTTCACAACTGATGCAGAACTTGCTGGCGGTGCGCCAAACACAGCCTCGCTATCACGCCCCCTCATCCGCGCCGGACGAGATGGTAAATTTTGCCCTGGGTATGGAGTTGTTTGGTGATATTTAGTGATATATTGTTTAGGTATTATATTAATTTATTCGGCTTTCTACCGAATGATAGTACAGTAGTGATGTGAAGACAGCATCGTGATGTGTGAAAGGGTGGGACGGTGGTGTCAGTACGACGCCCCCTCCCCTTCCCCAACACCTAACTACCTTTTTCCCCACAAGTTCCCAGCTTCCTACCGGTTTTTCCTTCTGAATTTCCCAGTTTTTTTTTTGAAAGACAACTATGTCCTATTGCAGTACCTGGCATGCCTCTCATCGTGTTCTTCCAACGACAAATTGGCGTTCGACGTTGGTGTACAGGAAACGAATGAAGGTGGTTTAACAATGAGCACTTGGTTTATTTTCGCAATTTTCAATTTGTTTGGAATTTTCAACTTCACACGTAGAAACTCAAATGATGAGCTTAAGGTGAGGCATGCTGGTGGACGATACATCCTGCCTCAAAACAGCGCTCTGAAGGTGAAAAAGTTCGTGTCGGTGATGATGTGATCCTCGTCAGCGTCGCAACCGAACGCTATCTGGTAATGATTTATCATTTACTAGTCGCGACACATATCCGTCTATTTTTCATTTGTAGCATATGGCCTTCAGTAAAGGCTACATGGTGATAGCGTCATTCCATCAAACACTTTGGAACATTCAAAGTGTAAGCTCGGGTAGTGTACGCACAAGAAACATGGGTAAGTTTCCTCTCATTACCTCTTTTCTCACTTCTTGAATTTTAGCTTTTGATAAAATGGACTAGCTGCTAGTTGAGAAGTTTTCAGGCTACGTATTTGGTAACGATGTGATGCGACTGTTTCACGGTAATGACGAATGCTTAACGATCCCTGAAAACTGGAGTGAACATCCACAGCACAAGTGAGACTACACGACCTCTTCCTAGATTTTATGGGGTTTATTTCAGAGCTTATCATAGCGCGGTGTGGATCGAGTAACTGGGAACAGCTGTACTATTAGCCCCCCCCCCTCTAACCAGTAATTCGCGAGCCCGAACAGCTCGTCAGCAGCCACCTCTTCCCCACGATTGCTCTCGGAGACTACACTGATTTCACTGTAAAGACTCCACTCTCAGGGCCCTAGCGGGGGCCCCTGCCATTATTAGGTTTTAGGGAT